ATAAATTGCACCGAATGCGCATTTGAGTCCTTGTTGCACCTCCCCAAATTGCTCTTGTTGAACTCAAAAGTATTACCCGCAATTCTCAACCCGTGACCTCTTCCGTATGCTTGGTCCACTTGAGGTTGGAAGATATTCCGCATTGGTGCTCCTGTCTCTTGTTGAGCCTGATGTCCGACTAATTGGCGTTGTAGCTCCGCCAATTGCGCTTGAAGTTGTCTATATCTGTCGTCACGTTGATCCTCCATCGCACCTCCTAGTCGTTGTTGTAGTCTCCGATTTGCGTTGTTCCTCTGGCAACTAGCTTCAATCTCGGGATCAAATTTCGCGGGCGAACTCCCACTAGACCTCGTGATCATGCACGTACCTAAAAACACATAATAAAGATAAACGAGTCCAAGAAAAATAAGAAAATAATAATAATAGATATAATAAAATAAAAATATCTAAACTAATATCTACTCATCTTCTCCTAATATTAATTAATTCAACAAAAAAAATCCCCGGCAACGGCGCCAAAAACTTGTTCCCTAATTATTTTCGCTATCCGCAAGTGTACGGCGTAGCTATAGGTAGTGGCGAGCAAGGTCGTATTCCACAGATATTGTAGTTAAATAAATTAAATACTAAAATAATGACGATTAAATATTATCTAGACTAATTATGAATTGAATGATGATATAAACTAAGAAATTAAACTAAGAACTAATTTACTTAATAAAATAAATAAAGAAAAATATAAAAGATAGATTCTAGGTTATGCGTTCTTCGGGTTAATTTATGAAACGTTCTAAATTCATCCAAACCTTATTTATTTTTACCAATCGTAGAGATAATTGCTAAATTAATTTAACATATTTCTCGAACAAATTAAACCGTAGATTAATTGCTATCTATCTCCTCTGGGTCTCAAGATGAACAACTAACTCTATAAGTTTCAAGGATTTTTGTTCTCTCGTAATGTCATATCAACCCCTCGGTCTATTTATTCTCTTACATTATAAATTTTCCAATTCTAGCAATCAATTACCTTCTCTCAGTCTCAAATCAATTACAAATATGAATTTATAGCTGTCGTCGACTTATACGATAAAAATAAACACATGAAATTTATAAACGAAAGGTAACCAGAATGAAAGCAATTAATAAAAACTATATCATAAATCAATCTGAGTACTGACAAATTCTAGAATCTAAGATGAATTTAACCTAGAAACATGCTTTCAAAATCTGAAAAATAAATATAAAACATTGAGTTCGAACTTATTTTTCGACTCCGTCGCGATCTCTTCTTCCCAGCTTTCTCGCTCGTCTTGCTCGTGTTTCTAGCCCCTTGAAGTCTCTAAAAATCTAAAAAACTACCCAAAGACTCCTTAAAAACATGTCCTAGTATCTCTTAAATAGTTCGGATCGAGTCCTAGTCGAAATAGGTCGAAAAAACCGTAAAAATAGCAAAAATGCGTCAAAACCCGTGTAAGTTTCACCCTGACCAACACGACTCATGTGACAAAATCGAGAGCACGTTTTGGACCCGTTCGGCGCGACATGAGTCGTTTCCCACATCACACGATACGTGTTGGTATGGACATCCAAAGCAGATCTGAACATCATTTTACATACGTATTTCAGCTCTGGTCGTCTTCAGATCCTCTCCAGATATCAGGTTGGCTTCGAGACGTTGAAAGTTGCAGTTCCGGCCATTTTTCGGTCACTCCCCGGCAGCTCCCGTCACAACACAGGAAGGTGCAGTAGCAGCTTCCCCGAAAAATGTACAACGTCGTGCGGTGCTCAGTCGCATTATGCGGTGTATTAGGGGGGTTCACAGTCGGTTTGTTAGGGTTCAGGTCGTCGGATATAGAGAATTCCGGCCAGATTCCGGCACAACTTCTCCGGTGAGGATTTGATGTCCAGGCTACTTCTACGGCGACATTCTTGCAGCGATGGTCAAAAAGGTGGCCTCCGGTGGCTGGGTAGTGGCATGGTGGCTCGGTGATGGCGTATCCGCTGCTCATCAATGGCGGTTCGTGCTCCCATCCGGGTAATGTAATGAAGATGATGATGAAAGATGCACTTAAAATTACCAATCTATCCCTTTAAATGGGTTTTAGGCCAGCTCATTTCCTTGTGTGTATGTCATCTTGGGTCAATAGTTCATCTTCGACTGCTTATTTGAGATCTGCATTTGGGCCTTGGTGGCTATTTCTGCAGCCCAAAAAAATAGATTCCGTTACCCATGTTATTGGGTCCGTCCCAATGTATGGTTCGCTCAACATTTCTATCTGATTCACACCGTTTTCGACTCCTATTTTCTGTCAAAACTCAAATAAAACATTTCATCGTAACTTAATAAAATTTATTAAATATTAAACTACAACAAAACGAGCACAAAAATAAGTCTAATATGCACGTAAATATGACGTATGTCAAAGATGTCTTCTGTACATGTAGAAAATGATTTAAATTTAACTAAAACATAATATCTACCACATTTAAATTTAAATAAGATATAAGAATATCTATTTTACTCAACAACAACAACAACAACAACAATAATAATAATAATAATAATAATAATAATAATAATAATAATAATAATAATAATAATAATAATAATAACAGTAATAATAATAATGATAATAATAATAATACGCTATAACATGTTCTGAATATTTTTTACTCAATGATCACACAACAAAAATAATGTAATGATTATGCGCAATTAATTTTGATTTAGGTATATATAAAAAAAAATCTTATTTCATTTTATTATACAATTGAAACAATTTTCATGAATTATTATACATGTAAGTAGAATGTGTTTTTGTATTATAGAGTACTACCAGTAACATAGAGCAATTAAATGATTTTACACATACTATTCAAGAATAATATAAAAAATATTTAGATATTTTACACACATTTTTCAAAAATAACATAGCATGTTTTAAATGATTTAACACATAAAATATTAGGTATTTGGTTTAGTAACGCTTGTAATCCAACACCGACTCGACCGAGCCCAACCAATCAAGAAAATTAGCCCCGACGAGTCCGCCGGCAAATTCAGGGAATCTCCACGTGAAAGGCCGCCTCCCCATCGTCGTTCACCGAGTGGTGCGCCATCATTCCGTGGCTCCATCGTTCCGAACGGATTGTACTCCTCCTTCGTGGCATCAGAGTCGTCGTCGCCCTCCTCCTCGCACGCGCTCGCTACCTGCCACCACCACGCGGTGGACCACGACCCCCGCGGCCACCATGCATCCCCCCGCGACCGCCGCCTCTGCCATCGAGCCCGTCGTGGTTCGTGCCGTCGCGTTGCACGATCGATTGGAGAGCCAGCTTGATGTTCTCCATGCCCTCCGTCAGTCCCGCCAACTCACGATCAATCGCCTGAAATTGCCGGCCAAAACCCTCGTTTTGGCGAGTGAGGGAGGCAATTGCAGCATCTCGTCTGTCGTCGGCCGGATCGTTCCTCTTGGGAGGCATCGTGGATCGTAGCTGATTCTGATTACCAACTGATGTAGCGCAGCTTCGAACAAAAGGGAAACAAGAGATGAAATCTCAGAAATCTTCAATTTTTATTATACGATGTCTGCCTTGAACAGAGAAAGGAAGAGAATAAATACTAAGTTTTCTACTCACGCTAAACAAGGAAATAACACTTAAACAAATATCAACTAAAATAAAGAAAATAAGAAAAAATGATAAAAGCTAGGAAATAACTAATTAAATTAAAGAAGGCATCCGATCATATTTCTGCAGAATCGCCATCGCGATCTCGTCTCCATCAGAGAGAAAGAGGGGAAGAAGAAGAAGAAGAAGAGACGTGGAGAAAAATGAGAGAGAAGAAGAGAGTGAGAGGGATAATAAATCGTAAGAAAAACAACTGCCTTCTAACTCTGACTTTGGGAGGAGTAAATTTTGGAAATAAAAAAGGCATTAATGTCTTAATAAATAAGTGAGGTAACTATCTAAAGAATATTTTTAAATGGGTGAAGGATGTCTTTAATTCCAACAAAATGTTAACCAAACAAGATAATATAGCATATATACACTCACATATATAATCATTGAAGCCCGAAAGAGATATTATCAAGCTCAATATCAATGTTGAACCAAACAAGCCCTTACAAAAATTTAACCGAAAACGAGGCCCAAAGCAGCACCAACAGATATCATACATACATAAAATAATTAGATATCACATGTATGGCTCAGAAATATATAGAAAGAGATTAGGCCAAAAGCAGCACCATAGATATCATACATAAAATAATTAGATATCGCATGTAACGGCTCAGAAATATAGGAAGAAATAGTAGTTTTAGGCGGTCACCTTACAAGAAAATTGTGAATTAGTTATCGTTTTCATAAGTATATAACTGCATCACTCTTCTTTTCAAGTCCTATTCACATCGACATAACTTCTAAACTAGTTGTTGGGCGGTAACCCTAGTCAGAAAAAAAGAGTTTTATTCCAAATTATATATATACGTCTAAACTAAACTGCGGTTACCCTAGTTAGAAAAAAAGAGTCATTTCTATTCCACACTAACAGTCATTTTTTTCTTAATTCTATTCACACAAAATCATGAATTACTCCATCTTCAGCTCGATCGTCTTCGTGTACGTCATCTTTAGCTCCAAAATCATCAAAGAATGACAAGATTAACAGTGGTGTTGATGGTTTTGTTGTGAAGCCGAAAGCACGGTCGAATAACAACTCAACTCCTCGCTCTGCTTTCGACTTGGATGGATCTAGTTTTTGTGAAAACGTTTTATCTTTTTAATTCACGTGAACAACTTTGTGTTCTTGTGTCAGATCCAGTCTGTTTGGTAGTTATGATGTAATAGTGTACCAGCCGCTTTCCTATGATGTTTGAGAAAAAACTTCCAATTTTGTAGAATGTTTTTTACTTTTTTATTACCATTATTCTTCTGGAGATGCATGATTTGTATACGCTTTAATTAACCATTGGTATAATTTTCATCAATAACAATATTGCATCAAAAATAAATCAAATGTGATATTCTTCACCTTTTAACGGATTGTGAACACTGACGCTACAAAGTGGTGTTTCCAACTCATATGGATCACCATCAATCACAACAAAAAAAACTCAGCATGAACCAAATTCGATCATTAGACCAAAAAACAAACAAAAAAAAAAAAAATCGGGTAGGAAGAAATAATCGAATGAACGCCATTTTTTCCAGCACAGAGATATTTTCTTATTGATCTCTCAACTATACATCATCTTCTGTTCTCGAAACTTACCAATAAGCATATATCCTCGGTTCACAAGCTTCTACCCGCAAACCTTCTCGCCACACCAAATATGAGAGTCTTAGTCAAAAGCCCTCGATCGAGAGTGCAAGCAAGTGCAAGGGCCCCACCCAAAACAAGCATCTTAGGAAAGCCCCCTCTGCTAGGTGGCGGCTTATTGTCCAAATCAGGCGGCCCGACTCCCGGAACCTTGCTCGGGCTCTCCTCCAATTCCAGAGATTCATCATCAGAGGCACTAAATTTGGAGTTGATTTGGGCCATGGCTGCACTTGGGGATAGTGGGACTCCCAAAGCCCGGTGTTTGTGGTAGGCCCGCAGGCCCGGGTCAATCATCTTGACAGCGCCCCACATGCCATGGCGAATACCAAGCTTCGCAATCTCCCAAGGGATTCCCATGTCCTCGTGATGGAAGAGAACAACTTCGCACGCGGTTGGCCGGCCGTCTCTCTTTGATTCGGCTAAATTTTCGCAAAAAAGAGTGAAGAAATAATATTTAGAAAAGGATTTTAATTCCCTATATAGAATGTGAAGAAAAAATTGAAATTGAGAAGTTAATTAATTACCTGCACGGATGAACCAGCTTGAATAGTATAAATCGACACGTCTTGGTTTGTTACAGCGAGGTACGGAGGAGCAAGGCACACCCTATTACAAGAGTCGATAAATGTCATGAAACAGGAACATTTATGGGTGTTAAGAATCAAAAGGAGGTAATAAAATTGAAGTTTAGCATTTTCTTTGTTTTCAGAATGGCAATCACCATTCTCTTGGTCAATTGTTAAGTCAGCTGACTAGACGCTTCGAACAAAAGTAAAATTTAAGAGTGAAATTATCTTTTGAGAAACAATTCTCTTCCACAGAACATTGAACAAGACTTTCAGGAATTTGACTAATTATTGTATACAGTTTGACATCTAAACAGAGAAAGGTCGTGTACACTGAATAGCTTGACTCGACGAATGGTCACCTCACCTCCAGGAAAAAAAAAACCCACAAAATTATGTAACATACTAGACTGGAATATTTTAAAAAATATTTACTAATTATGATTCTGAAAAAGAAAATGCAGAAGTTTTCAAATTTCACTAACTTTTTTTAGATAGAGTACCAGAGTACTAACAGTCCACGAATCATATCATCACAGCCTTACACTCCATAGTTGAAGAGTAAATAACCCAATTATCAGCCAAATATCTAAAAGACCAAATGTACAACACTCTCTTACCTTTGTTACGCAATAATACCTCCGTCCGGACTCCCAAATCCGCCGGCCTATTATGTACTCTCTGTCACTACAAAAAAATGGAAACTGCATCGAAACAAAAAGAACACCCGTTCAACATAAGCCACCACAAAAACAAAAAAATTCATCCCAAAACAATTAAAAAAAAAACAAGAAAGAGTTCTACCCACCTTACGCACCCACTGAACCATCATTGTCCCAGTCGTGGGGCACTCGTTCAAGGTCTTGGCAGTAATCAGCATATCATCCCATTTTAATCTAAATTCGTCATCCCAAAAGAAATCCCTCACCATTTCTGGAGTGGTATCTTCATACACAGTTCGACTCCTATACTGAGGTGGTCCAGTCTATAGCAAACCAAAACATTGTGTTTTTACTTTTTTTCTCAAATTCAGTTTAGCACCATAAAAAAATCAATTTTGAATCAAAGAGGTATATAACTAACTAATAACTCTCATTGCAAAAATCTACACAAGAGGAAATCTACCTTAGGATCTCTTCTCCAAGCCTGATAGCTCATATTGGGTGTAGACCTTTCCATCATTTTTATCCAAGAAGGCCCCCCATCTTTTTCTTCAACTAATCTGTGCAAATGCTTCACATCATCTTCATTCACAACACTCGATTCTTCGGTTTTTGCCTTGGATGAGCTGAGGTGGGAAGATAAATTCAAACTAACTCAGCTTATATACAGTTGAAAACCCACTAGGACCTCTCATACTAGGAATTCAACACTTCATGACTGAAAATAACAAATATAAATGAAGAAAACAAACCTGCAATCCGAAACTGAAGGCGAGGGTGAACTATCCTTCTCGAGCCCAACATCTGAAATCCAAGAAAAGCCGCGGGCCGGTATTTGCAGTTTGGACAAGCTCAAGCTCGGGATTGAAGCAGTAAACTGTGGAAATGGATTAATAGCTGATGTCTTTGACATTACTTTATTGGAAGTATGATCAAGAAAATCCGCATTCAATTTATCAGCCCATTTGGGCTTCCACGCCCAACCCACCAAAACGCCCACAACAATCGCCACCCAAATTGGCGCCATGAACTCAAGCAGCTCAAAAATCACATCTCCAATGGTGGGTCTTTGCAAAATCTCGAGAAAAGCGGCAAACGAAGCCATAATTACAGAACGGTTGCAGGAAAATGAGAGAATAGAAACGAAAAAGAAAAAAGCTCAGATAAGGAAACTCAATTAACCAAATAAAACAAAAGGAAAAACAAAAATAAAAAGAAAACCCTCGACTCAATCGGATTAAAGATTCAACCTTTAAGCACGTCGATGACCCGAGGGTTCAATGAGAAAAGGAAAGATAAACCCTTCAACTAGCAAAATGTAAAGCGAGAGAAGAAGAAAAACAAAGGGGATGGATTAGATATACAAATATATACACGGAAAAAAGGGAAATATACAAAAAGGAAAAAAAAACGAAGAGGAAGAAGAAAAAGAAAATCAGCCCAAAATATTATATAATATAGCAGAAATAAAACAAAAAGATCAAAAATAGTGGTGCCACGTGAAGAAAATCTAAACAATGGAGATGAGGGAGACGAAGAAGATAAGGAGGTTAGAGATAAGCGGTGGGTGTACGCATTGGTCGGATTGCCGTGGGCCCACAAATGCTTTACTTCACAAAAATATTCACAGCCAATGCTATGAATTCTTTTTTTATTGAGTTGTGAGCTTGTGATAATGCCAAGCGAAAATCTGCAGCTGCAGAAAGAAAAATCAAGAACTAGGCTTTATTCAAGAATAACTATATGCCACACTAGATTTGACTTGAAATTGGGTCAAGAAAAGAAAATAAAAATTGGGTGTTTTTTGGCTTGTTAATTGGTAAATGAAATGAGTTGGTGTTGTGACTAAAATGTGGGGGCACATTTATATAGTGGTTAAATTATTTAGTTTTAATCACAATTTAGTCAAGTACATTAGTACTCTACTGTGAAAGTGGGTCATCAAGTTTTTTTCTTTTCTTTAAAAAAAAATGGTTGATCTGTGGTGGACCGTGTGCTCGTTTTTCACGTTGTATTTTGACTAATTTATACTTTTTTCATACAATTGTTTACCACTTTCTTCTCATAAACAGGAAAAGGTGAACTTGTGATTCATAAGAGGTAAGTAGGGTTTGGTAGAGCTATTGCAAAGTTCATATTGATGCTTGTTGAAAGGCATGATAATCCTAGATCATTAGTGGATATGAAAAGATATGGAATCAATTTGGGTTGACATGGAGATGGACATGGATGAATCTATATGATTTTTTTTGAGAAAACTCATAAATTAGTATCTGAAATAAGAAAATGGCTTAATTTTATTTTGGCTAAGTGAATCGCGAGAAATTTGATTGCTTGTACATAGATATATAGATAAAAATCATATGTACAATTGAATTACACCTCAAATTTTTTTTTTTTTTTNGCTATCTCCTTGTAGTTTACGTTTTCAATTTTTAGAAATACATTACGAGTAGAACCAAGCATTTAAAACCATTAGTTATAATTTTTTATACGCAAAAACTGAACAGAGAATGTTCCTTAACACAACTTTGTTTAGGTTCAAGTTTCAAAAGCTTAGGGCGTGATACGACAATTTTTCTCTTTTATGTGTTCGGTCCACATTCATCAAACTAAACCTAAATATGAAATAAAAAGTTTTCATCTCACTTACTATTTATTTCATTCTACTTTTTTCTATACAATCACACTAACACAATTAAGAAATTTGAAAGAATCCATTTTATATATTATTCTTCATGTCGACACTATTTATCTATCACATAATTCTAACTGTCAATTTTATTAATCATTATTTTTTTTACATCAAATCAATTTAAAAATATTTTTATCTCTCATACTCATTCACAATCTAAATTTACAAAAATTCTATGGAGCCATCGGATGGTTTTCTTATGGAGTCATCCACCCCTTAATGTATTGACACTTGTCCATAGCAAAACTATCTAAATTTATCTCTTTTGTTTTCTAAAAATAATTATTTTTCACATTTTCATCCTACCTTTTAGGTCTAAATAATTTTTTTTTAAAAAAAAAAAAAGTCTCATATACCGTCCAATGTGAAATGACCAAGTCCTCCATTGGTTTCTATGGACAGGAAGTTGTTGAGTAGTTGCCCAAGCTACAGTTTATTTTTGTTACAGTGTACAAAAAATGACAATGACAACAATAAATTGATTGAAGATTGAACTCACATGTTATCAAATCTAAAGATCCTCAAAATTCCACGACCATCATCACCTCACAAACCATTTTTCTTTTTACACGTGATTTAACACATGACAGTAGTATTTTTGGTCGGTCATTTTGATTTAAGAAAAACTCTTAAAAAGTATTTTTTTATCAATAATACAAGCTATCCTCCTCTACAATTCAAACTTTTCAATAATCACTTTTTTTCAACTTATAGCTCCCACCTACAATGTAAGTACTCTCTCTTACTTCTACTTCTCTCACACGAGTGACCTCCAGAAAAAGCAAAAGCATTTGCAATTAATCACAAGTCGAAATCGATAATTAAATTAAATTAGTGGTGTATAAACCATGTGTCCCCATATGTTAAACTAGGCAAAAAAAATGGGTGCAGAATGGTGATTAGATACCTGAACATGTTCATCATTAAAAACTATGCACAAATATTTTAGTCATTTGCTATATATATGACTAATGTGTCGATTTTCAAGAATTGGAGTACCAAATTGCCTCATCACCCTCGCCACATAGCTGATGAACTTGCTCCATTTTCTCGGCCGACTTGCATATGCCACTACAGCTCCAATCAAATGATGCTGCACAAGGATTTCCGGCCTGTACTTTCCACTCACAATCTGGACGAGTTTTGTATTTCAAAAGAAATA